GTTCCTACTGAAACCCTGACCTTCGATGCTGCCCCTGTTCACTGAGAAGTTTAGAGTTTTCTTCTGGTGACCTCAGAAGGTAATATACCTAACCACAGAGAGGAGAAATTCCCTTCTGATCTCTTTACTTCCACGGTCATTCCTCTCTTCGCTCTCTTTGCAGCCGGCATGGATCATCATCCCTCATCCATCTTCCCTCCAGTTGATTGATGTCTGTGTTTTGTCTGAGATGCTCTCCTGACTTCCTTTCCATATGCTCCATAATCAGCGTGTGTGTGTGTGTGTGTGTGTGTGTGTGTGTGTGTGTGTGTGTGTGTGTGTGTGTGTGTGGTGCTTGTCATTACTGTGGATCAGAGACCCACTCAGGGCGTGTCAAAGTAATTCTGACATCTTAGCTTCATGTTGAACAAGGAGCTGTTGGAACAGCTGTCAGCAAACCAACACGCTGCTGAATCTTTTCCGTGTAAAGCCGTTCATCCCAAAGGCACTCATCAATGCCTAACAGAAAGTGTCTGCCGGTTTAAACGCCAATAACAACTTCATTGCTGTGTTAGCAGGTGGATGATGCTATGCCTAAAGACTCCCCTCATAGCACACTGGTTTGTGGGTAATCGGCACCATTCTTCTGGTGTTTTTTGACTTCTATGATCACTTTTTGCAGGTCTTGATAGACCTTGAATGGATTTCCTATTAAACGATGGTGCATGCACAAATAAACCCAGATGTGTGAAACGTCCAAACATGCCAGTCCAAACTGATTTCCTTTGTATATTCCAGTCGACGTGGAACTTGTCATTAATGGGAATACCAGACGCCTCCCCTCGACATGCATCCATTAAAATATAATAAATATGCAAGCAGAGGCTAATACAGCCTGGACATATACAGTAGGAAGGGCATATTAGGGGTTGCCCCTGAAATACATAGGGCACTTCTAAAATGGTGGCTAAGCTAGTGGTGAAAACTCCGTGATTTTTGTCCTTTTCCAGCAAGTGTGACCTTTAGTTTGCTGTGACCTTTGGTGTTGCCCAGATTACACCAAACACCCAAACGATGTTCCATCGACTTATTAGCAAGGTCACTTCTATTCTCTTCAACAGTTTAACACTCACTTTTGAAAATCGTCACAACTCTGACATAAAACAACTTTAACACATAAAGCTTTACTCGGCTGCCCCCTCGGTTCCCTCGTGTTCCTAAATCATTTTCATCTGACTGATCGTTTTTGCACTGTGAGACTGAGGATTTCTGTTTCCTGCTGCTCACACTCCTTTCTCATCCATATGGATGCAGCTGGCTGCTGTAACATCATCTTACTGCACCCTAAAAGGCAGGAAATCTCTGATTGGCTAAAGCCTGGATCCCACTGCGATTTTCAGCCATCATACAGGATTGTTTATGTCACACTGTGAGAACTGCAGAAAGGTGGCAACCTGTACGCCGTCTCGCTCCAGCAGGACACACTGCGTCATGAGCGCACCTCCCGAAAGCATACGCCACTAAGCCCTCTCTTTGGCGTCAGACTCCGGCTGCAGGCCTCCTTTTCCCGTCTTTCGGCTAAACAGCTGATCTGTCTGCTGGACATTCATCCTTCTCACATAAAAACCCACTAAACTACAGAGAAGTAACAATCTGTCACAGAGATCTCCATGATCTGTCTCACTACTTACTCCACAGCTTTCTCTGTCCCTCTGCAGCAAAACACTACTGAACCATGCTTATCGGTAGAACATGTGAGATTTCCACCAACAGCAAAGGGATCAAGTGTTTTTGTGTTTTATTTTTGTTTGTTAGCTCATCTCCTCTCAGCTCTCACAGATCACAGAATCACGGTTTCCACAATTCAGCTGATGGTCAAAAAAGGTAGTTTAGTATCACTCCGGTTTAACTTGGGCTATTAGCAGAAATGAAACTGATGTGTAGTTTATAATCCGCATTTTAAACAAATTGAAACCGAAGCTCAGAGACGCGGAGTCTTGTTGCTGCTGCGTCCCAAAGGTGTGTTTTCATTGGTCGGTTGCAGACAGGAGTAGATGATCAGAGGCTGTCTTTGGTCAAAAAGCTGTCACAGAGCCAGGCAGACACACAAGACCACAGATATGCAAATCACCCTCACGTTCACCGTTTTTTACACAATTGTGCTCCAGACGATGGATCTGGCTAAGACGGCCACAAATCACACATATGATCCCGGCTTTAGACTCCAAGCTTCTGCTGCCATTTTCAGTTAAAAAACATGGTGCAGCCTGCAGACCCCTCTAAAGTTTCTTCAAGAACTTTCTACTTCTTTGTTATTATGTCTTCAAACGTACAGTGAGGAAATTCACTTGCAGCACCAACAAGCGTAAGGCGGGTTAGGCAGTAGCGTTTTTAGCTCAGTTCAGGGACCCGTAAGCCGACCGGAAGGGGAGGAGACGTGGGCTCCCCATGTAAATCCGGTATAGCGCAGGTATTGAACACATACCGAGTATTGCATTGATATTCCGATCATATTTTTTGCGTCCAGGTCTGAGTCACCTGTCTATTTCATTGTTCGTTTTTGAAAGTGAAAGTGGGAGGAGCCTCTAACTCCAGCATGCACGAACCAAAGAGCTGTGAAGAAGAAGAAGCCACTCCACACCTCAGGACTTTGATTGGACGTAACGGTGAACGGATCCCTAGCAGACAGTTCAGTACTATTATGGATTTTATTTTTCAGCATGACAAAGTTCACGTGCGCTATCATTGCATGAGAATTGAGATCTCTGTTGATGTTGCAGAGCATCATTAGCTTCCAGCCCTACATCTGATAAAAGAGGGAATCAGTAGGCAGATGTCCAGGTGATCTGTATGTGACACAAAAACACAACAACAACATGGCTGTGGGCAGTGAGGTGGAAAACTCACAAGCAACCAGTGACTCCGCCCCCTAGCCAATCTGTGACCCCACCCCTTTGCCAATTGATGGCCGACGGTCTCTTAAGTCGTGTTTTCTGGCTGGTCTGAGGCGCCAATCACAAACCCGTTCTAACAGGAATGGCTTGACAAGCCGAGTCGAGCCTCGCTGGTTAGGAACAAAGCCCGGTTACAGACCCGGTCGTAAATGGCCTGTATTTGATATAGCACCTTCAAGGCTCTACCACCCCCCAAGTTGCTTTACAACACAAATGGCCATTCACCCGTGGTACACACACACACACACACACACATTCACACTTGTGATGATAAGCTACACTGTAGCCACAGCTGCCCTGGGGCTCAATGGCAGAGACGAGGCTGCCAAAACCGGAACCACCGCTCCCTCTGATCACCAGCAGAAGGCAGGGAGAGCGAAGTGTCTCACCAAAGGTAAACCGTAGAGGTCTACCTGGTAAAGGTAAACCAGGTAAATCATTGAACTCACCTCCAGTTCTCAGGACTGACCCAGAAGCAGCTGACCAGGTCACATCAGATGTAGAAGACCCATTCTGGTTCTCAGGACTGATTTCTGGTTCTGTTACAGCTCTGAGCTGCTGATACCAGCTTATGTCAGACGAACAAAGTTCTTTTTAAACCTTCATGTCTGACTTTCTTTTGTTTGGTTGGTATGGACGTCATGGATGCAGCCACTATGAGCTAGAATCATAATGTAGAAAATGTTTTAAACTGCCATCGTTAAACAAAAGCGGGTGGGTAAAAATGTTCCCTCACGTCCACGGTGGACCAGAGAGAACATTCTGGTTTGTTTATTTCTGCAGGGCCAGAACGCTGAGGGACGTGTGAATGATAGTAATAATGATAATCGAGCTTTATTCGTCACATTCCAGTGTACATTCTGGACCTTAGTTTCATTTAGAGCTTATTTGTTGTTCCTGCATAAAAAAGCACGCCCTCATTTTAAGCCCTCTCCTTTCATTGTTTATTTGTTTTGGGGAATAACCCTCCCACCAAAGGGGAACTGAGAAAACTATGTTTAGACTTCAAATTCTGGGACACCCATTTATGATCCTGGTAGTAATTTAAAAACCAGTTTCCATTGGCATCCTGCTGGAACCACTACAACACATTAGGTCCCTCTTTAATGGTAAATCTCTGTGCTTATTAGTGAGAGTTTAGGTAGCTCGGGGGCGTTTTATTCAGCGGTTTTTGCTGCCGCTGAGGTTCAGAAATGATTTCTCTGACTGCTTGGCTCGGCTCCACTAGTCTGGGAGAACAGCTGACAGCCACAGACAGCACTGGAGACTGGGGCTTGGACCCAACACAGGGATGCCAAGAGTGGGCAAGTAGGTAGCAGACTTTAAACGCTGCAGAGTTAAGTGAAATAAAAGGGAATCCTGCTGGATAGTGGTGAAAGGTTATGTGTGTGACACGCTCGGAGGATCTTTGTCAGCGTTTGCTCCTCACTCTTCCTCGTTTCCTGACAGTTCGTACTGAGGGTTGGCCCTCCTGAGGGTAGGGAAGAAGAGCTTCAGACGGGGAAAACATCTCAGTCCTTCCATAAGCTTTCAGGTCTTTTGGAGAAGCATTCCTGGAGGATTTTGTCTGCTTGTGAGGTGTAAACGCTCTGAGGAAAGTGAGAGGAACTTCTAGCGAAGACTTCAGAGGGCAGAGATCTAAGGAGCGGCCAGAGTGGGCGCAGGAGCTGAAGTATCCTGCTTGTGTGTTGTGAAGTCAAGCTTGATATCCACCTCTCAGAGACATCTGATGAAGACTTGGACAAAATCCCGGCGTTTTGTTTGCTAACCTCTCCCACGTTCTTTTTCTTCTTTCTTCGCACTCACATTTCCCCGGCGCCATCAGGTTTAGGGGAGGAGAGGGAGGGAAGAAAGAGAACCAAACGAGTTGTTTGAAAGAGGATCCTCATCCCTAAGATTTCAAGGATACAAAATTACACTTTAGCTTTTTTAATGTTTTGACTTGTGTCTGAACACTTCAGCGAGGCACGCTTCAACCTGAAGGCATTTAGCTCCTAATGGATCTAAGAATAACCAAACCTCTCCTGCTCTCCCTCTCTCTGGTGTGCGCCATGTATTCGGCTATAGTTGGAAACCATACAGGAAGGATCAAGGTGGTCTTCACACCCACCATCTGTAAAGTGACCTGCATAGGAAGCAGATGTCACAACAGCTGTGAGAAGGGAAACACCACCACCATCATCAGTGAGAACGGCCGCACCACCGACACGCTGACAGCCCCCAACTTCAGAGTAGGTAAGGAATCAAGACTTTAAATATGCACACACACACACGCTCACACTCACGCACGCACACACACACACACTCACACACACACTCACACACACACACACACACACACCACACACACACACACACACACACAAGGCAACTTTTTGTGTGTAGTTAAATGACTAGAAGGTCAGGTGCACATGAATAACGAGGTTTTATAATAAACTATTAAAATGTTTCTTATCCATTTGTTTCCTTACAAAATCATGGTTTATGGGCAGATTAATGTAAAAATGTAGGTTTATTTGAAAATAATAATAAATCTTTTAAAATTTGTAATTTTGAGTCACATTCCTGTTTTTTAAACCAACGGCAGAATTCAAGCAGGCAGAAAAAAATATATAAAAATTGTCCCTAAACATTAGTTTCTAATGTGTTTAAATAAAATGTGTCAAAAACGTCAATATTAATCATTATTTCATCATATTTCTAGTCAAAAACAGACATTTTTCAGGAGAAACATGGATTAGAAAAGTGCTGACATGATGAATGTGTTAAAAATAGCCTCGTCGCTCATAATTCTAATAATTAAGTCTGATATTTGTGGTTGGGACAACAGGGCTGATTTCAGGTGCACTATTCACATATCACCACCAGGGAGCACCACATCACCGTTCTTATGCGTCACTCCAACAGACAGTAACAGCAAATTGTTCCAAAAACGAGCTTAATATTCACCAATATATGCAAATTCATCATAAAAACAAACAAAGCTAATTGCATCAGGTTAAAAGCATGAACTCAGTTTTACCGTGGCTGGCTTAAGGTTGTAATGATCAGTGTTATAGTGAAATAATCCACTTTACATGCAGGAGAGTGGTCAGAAGCCTCACAAGCACAAGGGTGATTAAAACACACTGGTGATATTCAGATGCCTGCAGGATTGAGGGAAGTCATGTGATCTGTGTAGTCAAGCTGTCTCCCTAGACTGTGATCCTATACAGAAACACAGATCAAGCATTCACTGGAAGAGACGTTTGATGTGGTGTGGAGACATGAACACTGAGCTGGGCTCTAGCTGTGTGGGAAACTGGTCCCAACAGCTTCTTTATAGAACCAGTTAATAACTGGTTGAAGTACCAGTTAAGGCCAGAACTGGAACACTTTAGTGGGAAAACCCTGGACGTGAGAGACGATGTGTACCCTGGGCAGGTCACTAGTCTCTCAGCAGCAGCACACAACCTTTCACACCTGAAGTCGTCATGAATCAGGACCTGGTTAAAGCTCTGAGCGTCTTTGGTTCCTGTTGCTAAATGAAAACATAGAAGAATAAATGGTAAAACAGCCAATAGAAGCGCAGCTGATCTGGTTCAGGACACACGGACAGAACCTGGTGATTCCTCACTGACTCACACATCCTTCTGATCATCCAGGTTCTTCAAATGTTCCAAATGAAACATTATTTCTGAAACTCAGGAATAAAACCTAAATGTGCAAATTCTAGATGAACACATGAATAATGGCTGAAGGATTAAATATTACAAACTGGCTTTGATGTAGAGAGATTTACTGAGAAATGGGCATCTTTGTCCACCAACACTAGACTTCAGCTCAGAATCTGACGGAGACAAAGCCATTTCTCTTTTCTAAGGTTAACAGGTGACGGCAGCCATCTCGAATTGGGTTTACATCAAAACTTCATCAGCTGCAGCTGGACATCTAAATATATCTTTCTGAGAGTTTCATTGAAATCTGTTTCATGGTTCAGTAGATCTGACACCACAGATAAACACACACAGGCAAAGACATCATCTGCTACGATCTGAAGCAGCTATTGTGATCCTCAGAGGTCCAGAAGCACCGTTTCCGAGGTGGAGAACATAATCTGGGCATTGTTTGATGTTGGATGAACTTCGCTCAGACTCTGTGTCTCAACCTGCTCTAGTCCCTACAAGGAGTGGATGAGTTCCTCTGCCTCCGACACATGCAGGAACATGGGAAGAGCAGGACAGGAATTCCTGTCTGACTCAGAAGAACGAATTAGTGCAACTGGACTAACACCAGCTGGTAGCTGTGGGTGACCCGGGTCGGTCGAGTTCTGCTCTCTTCTGGAATGAATTAGTGGTAAAACCTGGAAGGCTTCATAGCTGCTGAGTGAATTCAGACTCAAGATGAACTTTTACACTAACAGATGAAATCAGAAATGATGCTGAACTGGTGTCAGGAACACTAAAGCTGTAGCAGTACGAGTCTTGTGTGTTTCAACACTGTTTTCTACAAGCTGTTTGAGGATTCAAACCCCACATTTACCTTTTTGTTGATTAAAAGCAGCTTAGCATGTCAAATGCGCCAAAGAGCCTGAGCCGGGGGGGGGGGTGTCTGTTGCTCGCGGGTCATTTCGCTGCCGTCCATTGTCCGCCACACCGGAGCCTATGTAGGGGAAACACGGAAGTTTAAAAGGTGATATTTTAAAAGACACTTAAATTCACTTGTACAACAGTTGGTTGCGACCGAGTGATTTGATTGGTCAAGAGACTTTCCAAGAGTGCTTATATTGGAATATAACAGCACAGGGACTGTTTACAAACAGTATCACTCCGCTGTGCACAGGCGTTCTTACCGTTATTACGGTGCTTTGCAGAAAAATGTTTGTGTTGCCTAGCAACAGCCTTGTCTTAGTCTCCGTTTAGTGTTGGGACTATTTGTGTTGGCGGAGCCTGATAAATGATTGAATAAATGAACAAATCATAATCTGTTGTTGCTTATTGTTGTTCTAAAAATAAAATGAGCAGGTAGAACTGTTGTATAAAAGCAATATTGCACTCGAGGTTGTGCGTTGTTGCTGAATATCAGCACTGGTGTGATTATCTACGGCCGAATCACACCAGTGCTGATATTCAACAATGATGCACGACCTCGAGTGTGATATTGCTTAATCAGAGACTCAGCCATAGGCAGAGTAAGGTTGTTCCATAGTCTGGGACCCGCAGCAGAAAACGCCCTGTCCCCTTGGGTCACAAGACGAGTCCTAGGGACCTCTAAAAGGAGCTGGTGCTCAGACCTCAAACGTCTCGAAGGAACGTGCTTGTTCCGAATCTATGTTAGGTAAGGAGGTGCCTGGCCGTTTAAACATTTAAAAACTAACAATAAAATCTTAAAATCAATCCTAAAAGGAACAGGCAACCAGTGCAGGGAGGACAGAACAGGGGCGATGTGCTCAGAGTGCTTAATGCCCGTAAGGAAACGGGCAGCAGTAATGCTAACCGCAGAACAGCACTAGCCCGAGCTACTGCAAGCATTCGGGGTCAAACATTTAACGTTAAAATGGGCTACATGGTGGCGCATTTGTTAGCATTGTTGCCTTGCAGCAAGACGATTGCAGGTTTGAATCCCTGCTGTGGCCTTTCTGTGGGGAGTGGCATGTTTTCCCCATGCATGCCTGGGCTTCCTCCAGGTACTCTGGTTTTCCTCCAGTGTTTCTGGTTCCAGTGAACATGGACCCAGAGAAGATATCTGACGGGAGGGGTGAGTGTTTGGGTTCAAAGCCTAGGTTGTTAGTGTCACACCCTGTCCTGTCACCCCACTTGGTTCAGCCTGTGTCCCTTTTGATTGCTCCCACCTGCCTCTCGTTTCCCAATCACCCAAGCACCCAGCCCTCCTGTATTTAAACCCATCCAGTTCTTTGTCTCTTGTTGCCTCATTGTTTGCACGTCCCGTGTGTCTGTGAATAAAATCCCTCTTAAACGTTCCTGTCTGCCTGCCTTCTCCCCTGCATTTGGATCCTCACCTCCGCTCCACTCACCGGCACGTCCTGACAGAATGAGGCAACCAGTTGAAGGATCAAGCGGGGAGATTCTCCCGTGGGAGTACCTGCTCCAGTGGCTTGCCCCGAGCCACCACCCGGCTTCTCCAGCTCCAGCTACACCTCACCGCGGACGACGGCGCGGGCTTGCACCCTCGGCCATCCTCTCCACCCTCCCAGAGCCTGATGAGAGACCGGATCGAGAGATGCGTTCGGATCACTCCAGTTACGTGGGCACCCGTCTGGCTGTGTGCTCCCCCGGAGTTGGTCCATGGCGTGGGGAGAGACGCCGGGCCCCCCCGCAGTCCTGTGTTCCGGGACGGAGCTGTGTGCCCACCGCTGCCCCTGCTCTGCGCTCTGCACAGCAGTTTGGACACGCCCCCGGCCAGACCAGCAGTTCCATCTCCGACCCAATCGGCGTCTCCGTCATCTGCAGAGGGAGGAGCGTTGGCCGCAGCCCAGCTGACTGAGCTCGTCAGTCTCCAGGTGGAGCTTGCCCGGTTCCGCCAGCTCATCAACTTCCAGGAATCCCGCCTGGACGCTCTATCCTCCTCATCTCAGGGCCAGAGGAGCGAGCCCGGGGTTCACCCAGCGGAGCTTGCCGGTCTCCGGGCTGAGCTGGCCCAGCTCCATCGGCCTCAAAGAGCCTCAAAGAGATTCAGCTGGACGGTCTGTCCTCCCTGCTCTCACAGCTCCCAGCACCACCTGTTCTGTCGCAGCCTGCTCCAGCAGTGGTCCCGGAGGTCGCACCACATCTGGTCCAGCCTGTCCAGGCAGCCCCTCCCGCAGCAGCTCTGCCTCCGACCCAGAAGCAGGCGGTCCTGGCCCGGAAGCAGAAGGTTCGGGCCCAGAAGCAGATGGTTCTGGCCCTGAAGCAGATGGTTACGGTTCTGGTCCAGAAGCAGATGCTTCAGATGTCTGTGGACCAGAGGTCGACGCCCCCGGACCAGAAGTCGACGGTCCAGTGGTCGACGGTTCAGAAGTCAATGGACCAGAAGTCGACGCCTCCGGACCAGAAGTCGATGGAGGTCGACGCCCCCTCCAGTCGTATGGTCGACGCCTCCTCGTGCTCTGAAGTCGATGCTTCATCCAGTCCAAGGGTCGACGCCTCTTCCAGTCCAGAAGTCGACGCCCCTTCCAGGTGTAGCGGAATATAGTTGGTATATTCTTACACTTTATTAAGGTCCAGAGATTAATCTTTGGACCGGGCACTTAGAATCAG